TCTCAAAAAGTATTTGTTGAAATTCATTAGATCATAAAGCTTTATTTTTGAAGAAGATTTGGGCAATAAATCATTTTAAGTTACATAATTGGCTTAAAAATTATTCAGAAGGTAGAATTGGTAGGGCTTGGTGATTGATTAGATGTAGGGTGACAAAAAGGGAGGAATCAAGAATTTAGCTAACATTTGCTGACTGTTACTGGGTGCTCAGCATTGTTCTAGGCGCTGGGGTGCAGTGGTGAACAGGCCAGTCAGGGTTCCTGTTCTCCTGGAGCTGGTCAGTGATGCCCAGGTTTCAGGACTGTGTGACTGGTGATGCTGTTCATTGAGAAGAAATGTTGGACAGAGAAGCAGGTGTGTGCAAGTGGGGTGGTTGGCTTAGTATGGGACAGTGTATTTCAGTTGGAGTTTGGCATGATATCAGAGAGGATGGGCAGTGACCCAGGAGGGTGGTCTCTGTGCCAGGAGACAGAAGTTTCTTCTCAGCCTCCTTTCACGTTGTGCTGCCATTGAGGACACGTGTACTTCATAGGAGCTGGATAGGTTTTACCTTTGTTATTTGAAACACCACCAGGTGAAGCAGATCTTGTAACCTACCACTCTTTTACAGATGAGGTGACTTATGGTCAGGACTGAGGGTTCAGGGCTAGAAAGTGGGATCCAGGCCCAGCTCTCTATGACTCAAGGCTCAAGCTCCCTCTACTGCGTCCTTCTTTGAACCTCTTAATGCTGCTCTTTTCTCGCTTCATCTGTGATACTTGTCTTCTGTGTAGGGAAGATGAGTGGGCTTTGTCAAATTGTAATTCATGAGCCATTAGGAGTATTTACAGTTAATTCTCCATGATGAATACCCCTTCCAAAGTCAGTTTTATCTGGGCTCATTAAAAATTGTAACTGTAGAAGTAACATTACTTTACATTATATTATAGAGGTTTAAAAAATAGAGTTAACAGAAAGACCTTCCATAGTCCTACTGTCCTTAAAAAACTGTTATTTGGGGGATTGTTTGGTAGCAAGAAACTAACTTAATTAAGGGGGATTTAGTGTAAGGAACTGGGGTTTCTGAATCCTGGATCTCAGTTGTATCATTGCGTATCAGTGGAATCAGCCTCTCTCTTGCTTTAGTTTTCTCCCCCTCTCTGCAGCCTAGAAATATCTGAAGTACCAGCATTCAGTTTTGCTTTTCAAATAATTTTTGCTAATTTAATAGTTAATAGTTTAATTGTTTGTATCTCTCTAATTGCTAATAAGAATGAAAATTTTTTCATGTATTTGATTGATTTGCTTTCTGTTTTGAATTGTCTATTTGTATTTTTGCCTGGTTTTCTTCTTGGGTGTTCGTAGTTTTCTTATCAGTTTTACAAGTCCCTTGTATTATTAAACATACAGAAAAATTGATAGAGTAGTATGGTGAACACCCATGTTCTCTTAACCAGGACTTAGGAGTCACTCATTAGCATTTTGATGTATACATGTTATGTCAATGTGGATTTTATTTTATTTTATTTTTTCTGAACCGTTGAAAAGTCAGTTGCAGACATGATGACACTTCTAAATACTTCAGCATATGTATGTGCTTTCAATTTTAGTGACCTATTAACCTTTTATCTTTTACATATTTGCTGTTAATATTTGTTCCAATCTGTTGCTTGCTTCTGACTCCTTCCTTTTGTTTCTCAGATGGTGACATGCCATGCCGTGCCAACATCCTGATCACGGAGCTGTTTGACACGGAACTGATTGGGGAGGGAGCACTGCCCTCCTATGAACACGCACACAGGCATCTCGTGCAGGTAGGGGACTGAGGGCCTCCTTCGGGCAAATTGCTGTGATCTCAGTTGACTCACACAGCTCTCATTGACACACCACGCTCTACATAGCCTGAGCCCTCAGTGCCTCTCTGTACACCTTAGGGCAACCTTTGATTCCTACGAGATTCTGACTGTCCTCAATTATGACTTCTGTGCCTCTTGAATGCCACGTCTTAGTAGGTTAGAGTCAAAAGACTAGAAACTATCTTCAAATTGAATTCAGCAAACATTCTTTTAATGTCACCTGTGTGTAAGGTGTTCTAGCATCCAGGGAGAAGTATAAGCCATTCTTCTTGCTCCTATATCCACACTAGTCAGCAGTGGTAAGGACTTGATGGGCCAGATGGAGAGGTAGGCAGAAGCACCACTGACATTTGGTTTAGGGCTGGTGGAAAAGGTCAAGGCTCAGGAAGGAGATGAGGGCATGTGTGGAGAGGGTGGAATTTGGAAAGGCACTGAGGAAAAGGAGAGATGTCCCAGGTGGAGGACCTGTTTGGTAGGTCAGTGGGAACACCAGCCTAAGGTGCTTGTAAGCTAATGTGGAGAATGGGGTGGAGGATAGAAGACCTTGAATGCCAGGCTGTTCCAGATGAAGGAGTTTGGGTGGTGATAATCTTTGGCAGGTTTTTGTGTTTTTAATAAATTTGTTTGTTTGTTTTTATTTTTGGCTGTGTTGGGTCTTCGTTACAGTGCACAGGCTTTTCTCTAGTTGCGGTGAGTGGGGGCTACTTTTCGTTGTGGTGCTCAGGCTTCTCATTGCGGTGGCTTCTCTTGTTGTGGAGCATGGGCTCTAGGCATGCAGGCTTCAGTAGTTGTGGCACACAGGCTCAGTAGTTGGGGCTTGCGGGCTCTTGAGCACAGGCCCAGTAGCTGTGGCCACAGGCTTAGCTGCTCTGCAGCATTTGGGATCTTCCCAGGCCAGGGCTTGAACCCGTGTCCCCTGCATTGGCAGGCAGATGCTTAACCACTGCACCACCAGGGAAGCCCCGACAGTTGTTTTGAGAAGGGAGAGATATGCTGAAAATTTTAGCTCAGAGATGTTGGTCTTGCTTTTTTATGAACATAAACTGGGAGGTGGAGACTCAGAGGCAAAGGCCGGCTGGGGAGGTGTGAGTGTTTGCTGCTTCTGCTGGCACCTGCCATGTGGGCACAGTTCACATGAGCCCGTAACTGTCTTGGCCCGGTATTCTTTTGAGGGGTACTTCGTACCCCTGGAGTGAGGAAGGGGGCTCCTTCCAAGGCATTTGGGGCCCGCGTCCACATTACTCATGTGGTCAGCATGTGATGGTGATCGTCCTCCAGCTCCCCATCCTGCGTGAGATGTCTTGTTGTCTCCAAAATGCAAAATTCTTCCTAGTAACTTTGGTAGAAATTATTTCTGTTTCTCCACATTAAAACCATCAATTAGATGAATCCCTGAAATAGAGAACAAGGATATTCAGAATTATGTTAATGTTGTTCAATTTGTCTTTCTCTAATTCATCTAGTAATTAAAAGGTGCACAGGCAGCCGTCCTCAGCTTCCTCTCCCAGCTGGCCTGTAGCAGCCAGGTGTGCGCTGTCCACTCTAATCACTGTCCCCATCTGCCGAGCTTGAGTCTCAGCTTGAAGGAGCTATGGCGGCACACAGTCTCCATTACCCTGTCCCTTTTTCTGCCACATTGGAGGTCATGGAACTGGGGTGCTGGAGTGTCTGACAGATAGTCCATGTGGTATTGCAGTGACCCAGGAATTGATCTCAGAAGACACATTTATTGGTGCCTTCATTTTGCAGGGCCTTTTCTGAGTACCAAGAATACGAGGGTGAGCTCCTGGGGAGGCAGGTAGGTGGGCAGGTGGTCACAGTACAGTTTGAGGTCCACGCTGATGGTGGTCGGTGGGGTGAGGTCCTGCCCCTCTGGTGGGAGAAGGCGGGGAGGTTGGGGAAGATGAAGCATGAGCTGAGTCAGTCTTGAGAGTGAGCAGGGTTTGGCCTGGCAGCTGGGGGGAGTCGCGGCAGAGGAGGTCAGCCTGCACAAAGATGTGAAGATGAGTCAGATTATGGGTGTGTGGGAGGCAGGGTAAGAGAGAAGGCTGAAGGGCTGGGCAGGGCCTGACCAAGAAGGGCCCCTGTGCTCCAGAAGGCCATGTGGTAGCTCAGAAGGGTTTTAAGCAGAGGATCAGTGTCAGATTTATGCAGGCAGGCATGTGGAGAGCAGCTGGGGTGCAACATTAGAGGCAGGAAGACTAGTTAGAAGGTGGCTGGAGTTGTCCAGGTGCTGGGCTGAGGTAGGCCTTAGTCAAGGCCATAGCAGTGGAGCCCAGAGAGGTAGACTCGGGGAGGAGGAAGGTGGTCAAGGACTTCTGTTACTTAGATGTGGAGGCATTGAGGATGATGCCAGGGTTTGAGGTGTAGGTGACTGGCTTGGATGGTAGTGCTCCCTGTTGACTGGGAGGAGGACCAGGCCTGGGAAGGTGGGGGAGAGGTGAAGGTGACTTGTTTGGTTTAGACAGACTTTGAGCTGAGGATCAGCCAAGTAGAGAGGACCAGGAGGCATTTGGGTACATGTATTCGGTAAATGAAGATGGAGTGGTTGAGGTCAAACGGGAGAGTACATGGTGGGAGAAAAAGATGGTCCAGACCAGGTCTCTGGGGAATTCTCTCTGTGAGGGATGGGCAGGGGAAGCACAGCTTTGTGAAGGAGACAGAGAGGGAGAGCAGTGCTTCTCATCCAGAGCTGTGTCTGGAGACAGTTTTGATGTCACAACTGAGAGGTGGTGCTACTGTCATGTTGTGGGTAGAGGCCAGGGATGTTACCAAACATCCTACAATGCACAGAGCAGCCCCCACAGTAAAGGATCACCTGATCCAAAAGGTCACTAGTGCTGAGGTAGACAAACCCTGTGCTTGTGCTTTCTGTGCAGTAGCAGCTGTGAGTGTTCTCTTCATGGCTTGGCCCCTAGTGCCTGGCATGTAGAGGGTGTTGGATGAATGAGGCAGGAGGGAAATCGGATGAGGGACTGCAGCCAAAGCCAAGTGAGGAGAGTGGTCGGCAGTGCCAGGTGAGGCCAGGAGGTCAGGTCGGTTGAGGATGGACACTTGTCCAATTAAGATAGAATTCACATACCACAGAGTTCTTCACCCTTTAAAGTTTCCAATTCAGTGGCTCTTAGTACATTCACAAAGTGTGTGGCAATCACCACTTTGTAATTCCTGTTTGTCTGATTTTCTTTTTTATTATTTAAAAAAATGGAAAACCAAAAGTGTAATTTTCATTCAATAAATATCATTTGATCCTTAGGCAGTTTTGTTGCAGAAAGTAAAGTCCATGATTTTAGAATGATGGTAGCAATTCATCAACCAAGTAATCAGTTTTCACACAGTTTCAATAATTGCAGCAGTTTCCTTGAACTGTCTAGAAATTCTGAAACTGTGGAATTGTCATTTCAAAGGACTTGTTCTTTACTTGGCCTGAATGATCTGCCACTTTGAGCATCACTGCAACATAAGGATACTTAAGTGATCTGCAGCTGTCTGAGCTCACAGCCATACCCAGCTTCCACTGAAAATCTATGAGCTGGTTGGTGACCTTGGCCTTAGCATCCAGCTGTGGCTCACTACACCCCTCCATAGCAGCGCCCTGGAATCCCACCACCCACTCAGGTGGAAGCTCCTGGGGCAAGGTTTATTTTTGAAATATTCAAGAGTGTCAGGTAGCTAGGAACTTACCTGACATAAGTCGTCTTAGGCATAATGTGTATTCTTTCTGAAGTCTGGTTTCTTCTGTTCCCAAGGGCATTGGCTGAAAACAGTTCACTGTCCTAATAGTGATAAGGCATTAGATGTTACTAAACCTGCCTAATATTAGGGAATAAATCTCTTTTGCTCAATGGGAATTACTGTGGGTCAACGTAACTGGTTATTTTTTTGTTCTTTTGTTTTACATTTTTAATATAAACTTAGAAAAATTGTGAGGCAGTGCCTCACAGAGCAACCGTCTACGCACAGCTGGTGGAGTCCAGGAGGATGTGGTCATGGAACAAGCTGTTTCCCATCCGTGTTCAGACCAGCCTTGGAGAGCAAGTCATTGTCCCCCCCTTGGAACTGGAGAGGTGTCCTGGCGCGCCCTCTGTCTACGACATTCAGCTGAACCAGGTGTCTCCCACTGACTTCACTGTCCTCAGCAACGTGCTGCCTATGTTCAGGTACCAAGGAGCCACCCAGGGTCATGGCGTTTGGAGACACTTGGTGAATTGCGGTCTTTGGCAGTTCTTTTTGAGTTCATTTTGACACCAGGAGTCCATTGCAAACAAGTCTCATTGCTGGTGAGGTCACCATAAATGCTTAAAGATGGAGTGTGTGAGCTTAAAATATGCTTCAGTTCCTGAATATTCTTCCACAGTGTGGACTTCAGCAAGCAAGTCAGTAGCTCAACAGCCTCCCATAGCAGGCAGTTTGAACCTCTGGCATCTGGCCAAGCTCAGGTGGTTCTCTCCTGGTGGGATATTGAAATGGACCCTGAGGGGAAGATCAAGTGCACCATGGCCCCCTTCTGGGCACACTCGGATCCAGAGGAGCTCCAGGTAAGAGGCGGGAGCTGAGCACGTTTTCGTGGAAATCAGGAAACTTGTCCACTTTTGGTCCTGGGAAAGGAGCATGTTGAATCTTAGATTCCTAAGAATTTAGAGATAGAAGGGACTATGTTAGAATCAATGTCAAAGAAGAGTTTAAAAGAAAAAAAACCAAGGCTAGCTGTAGTAAGATATAAGATAGACCTTTCAGGCCAAGTTCATGGTCAACACCAGTGGTCACAGTGAGCCATAGGGCAGCTTTGGTGTGCTGGCTCTCCCCTCGTCCTGGTACAGCCACTCTTAGACCTGCCCACCGAGTAATCCAGGGGTCCTCAGATTAGCTTGTGATAGAGAACTACAGCCTGTCTACAGCCGCATTTTCTGTGACCTCAGAATCTACCTTCTTCAGCTCAATGGAAAGTGGGGAGGATGTGAACTACAGAAAAGGAAATACATATTATATTCCTTTTTCTTTAAAAATATTTTTCTTAATTTTATTTATTTATTTTTCGGCTGCGTTGGGTCTTCGTTGCTGCGCACGGGCTTTCTCTAGTTGAGGCGAGCGGGGGCTACTGTTTATTGCAGTGCACTGGCTTCTCACTGCAGTGGCTTCTCTTGTTGCAGAGCACGGGCTCTAGGTGCGCGGGCTTCAGTAGTTGTGGCTCTCAGGCTCTAGGGCGCGGGCTCAGTAGCTGTGGCGCATGGGCTTAGTTGCTCCATGGCACTTGGGATCTTCCCGGACCAGGACTCGAACCCGTGTCCCCTGCATTGGCAGGTGGATTCTTAACCACTGTGTCATCAGGGAAGTCCAAGAACCATGCAGATTTAAACTGCAATGAAATACTGTTTTTTGTGTATTAGTGAATAAAGTTCAGAGTTTGCATGCTGTTGGTGGAGCCGTGGGGCAGTGCAGGAGGGTGATCACCAGAGCGTTGTGGAGTGCAGCAAGGCCCACAGTCGGTCGGGATGGGACGTGACGCCCCTTCTAGGCATTTAGGCTCTGGATGGAGCTGCATACGTGTAGAATGACGTGTGTGCCAGGATACTCACTGCAGCCCTGATTAAATAGAAAAGACTGGAACAGCCTAGAGGCCACCAGCAGGGACTGGCCAAGTCCATTTTCCTGCATCCACGCAGAGGGTGAGGTGGCTGTCTCTGCACTGATGTGGAACAGTCTCAAGGACAGATCAAGTGAAACAACGAGAGGCACAGAACAGTGTGTGCTGTGCCAGCGTTGGCGTTATTAAAAATAAGAATATATGTGTTTATCAGCCTTTATGTGTGGTGCATGTATGCAAGGGTATCTTGGGAAGAATTCACAGAAATTGGTAAAAATGGTTGCTTCTGGCAAGGGAGCTGGAGGTTAGGGGTGGAAAGGAAACTTATTTTTCACTCCATGACCCTTTTATATCTTTTGAGTTTTCTCTCATGTGCATGTATTATCTACCCCTCTGTACACAAACACAAGGGAAGAAAGTGAGAAAGATGCTTCAGGACCAAGGAATCAAATGTTCCCTCCACCTGGGAGGCCTTGGGCACTGTCCTCTGTGTGTTCTGACTTCCTGTTCCCACTTGCTGGGCACTGGCTTGGCTTTGATTGCTCAGCTGCTGGTTCTGGGTGTATACATGGTGACTTCAGGGAAGGCCTTAGCATTTCATCCTGCTCCCTGAGTTACTGCTCAGTCCAAAGGGTCATGACTGCTGTGCGATTTCAGTCAGTCCTCCTGGGCCCTTGAGCTGCCCCGGCTCCACTCTGCATAGCCTCAGTCCTCCGTAGGCTGAGAGCGTGTGTGGGGTGTGGGGTGTGGGGTGTGTGTGTGTGGTGTGTGATCTGTGTGTGTGTGTGAGGGGGCGTGTGTGGTGTGTGTGTGGTGGGGTGTGGTGTGGGGGGGAGGTCAGAATTCTCCAACAGAATTGAGGTTGGCACTGGGCTGCTTTCTTCCTCTCTAGGAGTGTGGTAATTGCAAAATTAGCATAAGAATTTCATTAAAATGTTAATACTTCTCATTTTTATATCTTCAAAATGCTTCTATGTGTATTTTCTCCTTGAATCCTCATATAAGACATGCTGGGTAACCACACAAAGCCAGGCGATGAGGGGAGCAGGGCCTCAGGTGTAGGCAGCCTTGGTGGGTGCTTGTCCCCAGGTGTCCTGACTGTGGGGCTTGTGTCCTTCCTCTACCAGTGGTGACTTTTGGACTGTTTCGAATTTGAAGAGCTGCTAATGAATCTCCCTCATGACTTTGTTAAACTGCTTTTGATCAGCCTCAGACAGTGGATTCTGGCTATCATAGCTCTTTAGCATTAGGACTTGGGAGGCTGGTGTGTGGGAGGGACATGGTGACAGGGAAGCACTGTGGGAGCCCGGGAGGGGTCAGGGAGGCATAGTAAAGAATGAATAACAGGTTTTAGAGGATCTGTTTTTCCTCCTTGTTAGTGTTTATTTTTTCCAGAGTGTATCTGGTTAGATTTTAATTTTCTAGCTTTTACATTCAAATAGACATCTTAGATAGATGGGAATGTTATTCACCTGTCTTTAATTTCAAGATCAGGTAGGATAGAATGTGTTGACTGAAAAAAAAACAACACAGTGTGAGAGTTGTGACTTTATTTGAAGCCAGATGAGGACTGTAGCCTGGGAGACAGCCTCTCAGCTCTGAGGAGCTACTCTGAAGAGGTGTGGGTGGGGGCAGGAGGTCAGTATAGGTATGATTTTAGTGGAGGGGAGATACTTGCAATCAAGTACACATTTTGGCAGAAGGTTCCTGCTAGTCACG